GCATTCAAACAGAAACCTCAATTTTTCTCTGGTTAAGAGGCATTTCTCCCATATGTCCTGGGTGATGGGGGGAGGAACAAAAGTTGCCCCAGGGACCCTCATTATAATACCATCCTTTAACTGGACGAGTTCTGAAAAAAAATGATGGAAAATGGTTCAAGGTTTCCTGTGTTCAACTTTTATCTTTGATAACACCAGAATTGGTCCACTATTGTCAGGCAGAGCCCACTATTTTTATTTATTTATTTAATTTATTTATTTTGTTTTCGAGACAGGATTTCTCTGTGTAGCTTTGGAGCCTATCCTGGTCCTAGCTCTGGAGACCAGGCTGGCCTCGAACTCAGAGATCCACCTGCCTCTGCCTCCTAAGTGCTGGGATGAATGGTGTGCACCACCACTGACTGTCCAGAGCCCACTATTTTGATAATCATCTGTAGTTTGGCTCTCCTACCTTTGAAATCAGGGATCCTCACATAAATTAATAACCCCATCACCTTAGTCCTCTTTATCAATCCCAGCTCCTTTAAACCCATATACCACATCCTGGAAGCCGGATGAACTCTCCCACCAGACCCTGGAGAACCTAAGCGTGTTCAGCCTGAGTAAGGCTTCCCCAACTACCTGCCCCCAGAGGTTCTTGGGCTACTTCCCTAGCAAAAAGATGGTGGAAGAATTAAGACTCATCTATGTCCACAGAACCTTCTCTTAGTAGAGCTTAAAGAATGGAATTGGGTAGTTCATAGAAACTCCAATCAATAGGAACAGGCCTTCCAGAATCTAAACAGTCTTTATGACATGGCCAGGAGGGATGCCATGCTCATCTTTGTTTTGGGATAGGGTTTCATGGTGTGGTTGCCTCTGTCTCCTAAGGCATGTGCCACCACACCCAGCCCTTGTTCATTTTAGATTAAGACTTTGACCTCAGTGGAAAAGCAGAGGGTGAAAGAAAGGGTATTAGCTGATAATGATTACCACTGTGGGTCACAGCTCAGTTCCCACAGGAGCCCTGATCTATTTGGGAATGTCAGTGACTCCCAGGCAAATGGTAGAGAAAGCACTTTATTGTATTTCAAAGGGCTTAAGGAGAGCAAGGGCCAACATCTCATTTACTCTCAGCTACTGGCCAATTTCCAAGGACAGAGGAAAGGTTTCCCCCCTTAGGAGACAACTTCCTACTTCTACTAAGGACACATCATACTCTTATCCACAATAGATGAAGTCCAGGAAGACAACTACAGCCTGGATGATCACAGATGGTAGCCCCCAATTGTCTTTTATAGTTGTCTAGATCAATATAATGGGAAATTCTAAAGTTCCCAAATATATCACCAGGGAAGGGAAAACTCCATTCTGTTAGAGTGGTGGTCTGGATGTAATTGGCCTGCATAAGCTAGTAGGGAGTAGCATTATTGGGAGGTGTGGCCTTGTTGAAGTAGGTGTGACATTGTTAAAAGAAGTCTCACCGTGGGGGTGGTCATTGAGGTCTCTTGCTCAAGCTTTCTTCAGTGTGACAAAGTTCACTTCCTGTTGCCTTCTGATCAAAAGACGTGGCCAGCATCATGTCTATGTCTGCCTAATGCCATGCCCCCCATCATGATGAAAATGAACTGAACGAGCCACCACTGTGGTGACATCTTGTTTGTACAAATAAAGCCTGTCTGAAGATCAGAGTATCGAGCTTGCCACTAGTTAACCATAGAGGTCTGGAAGTCTGTACAGACAGGAAGTGAGCTGGATGGTGGAAAAAGGATATAAGCAGGAAGAAACAGGAACTTGATCTCTTGTCTGCTGAGATGCCAAGGAGGTAAAAGGTGGTTTTGGCTTGCTCCTTCTCTCTGATTTGTCAGCATTTTCCTCCATATCTGACCCTGGGCTTTTATTATTTAGATCAATTAAGAACTCCTTACGCTGTGATCTTCATCTGTTCCATGGAATGAGTCAGCAATACCCTAGATGACACCACCAGCACCCTGATAACCCCTTTATGCACTTGGCCACAGCTAAAACAAGATGAGTCTGATCTTTCATTTTGTGAGACAGGGTTTTCCTATATGGTTCAGGATGCCCTTGAACTCAAGATCCTTTTACTCTAGCCTACCGAGAGCTAAAGGGCTCTCACACTACCATTTCCAGCTTGATATTAAAACCACTACTATCATGGTATCAAAATGTAAAATTATAGCATATAATTTAATGCCTTATTTTTTTAAGTAGCTGTTGTATGTCAATCATGGGTGATCAACTTTTGAGTAGATCACAAGGGAATAGAGGTAACCATGGAAAACATGACAATAGTAGGCCAAATTAAAATTAACCAAATGCCTCGGCTTCCTTTCATTTTCATCTTCCTCAGCTACTTCATGATTTCCATGAGCCTCTTCGATTCCATGAGTATATATTCTTTTGCTATTTACTACGTATGTGCCATAACACTTAGTGGATGCAGGTTCAGCATCTAATCTGTTGGAGTATTTGTATCCTTTTTTAAGAAAAAGATTTACCTGTTTTAATGTGTGTATATATACTTTTATGACTGTTTATCTGCACTTGGTAGTTCTTGAAATGTGTGCAATGCTCACAGATGCCCAAAAAGGGCACTGGATCTCCTGGAACCATTGTTAGAGATGGTTATAAGCTGCAATTTGAGTGCTGGCAATTGAACCTGGGTTCTCTGCAAGGGTAGCAAATGTTCTTAGACCTCTGAGCCATGTCTCCAACACTAAATACTGTATTATCATTAAAAAGACTTATTATTTTTATTTGTATGGGTCTTTTGCCTGCATGTATGTCTGTGCATCATTTGCATGACTGCCCTGTAGGTGTCAGGAGAGGGTATCAGATCCCCTGGAACCAGAGAAACAGATTGGCCATGTGGGTGTTGAGAATTAAATCCAACAGCTACTGCCCTTAACTGCTGAACCATCTCTCCAGCCCAAATGTTGTATTCTTGTTTTTGCTGTCCTGAGACAGGCTTTCTTTGTGTAGCCCTGGCTGTCCTGGAACTCACTCTATAGACCAGGCTGGCCTCGAACTCACAGAGATCCGCCTGACTCTGCCTCCTGAGTGCTGGGATCAAAGTCCTGCACCACCACTGCCCAGCTTTGACAACAGCTTTAAAAAAAGATTTATTTATTTATTATGTTTACAGTGTTCTGCCTGCATATATGCCTGCAGGCCAGAAGAAGGCACCAGATCTCATTACTGATGGTTGTGAGTCACCATGTAGTTGCCGGAAACTTAACTCAGGACCTCTGGAAGAGCAGCCAGTGCTCTTAACCTCTGAGCCATCTCTCCATCCCCAAACACAGCTTTTAAACTTTGATTCTATGCTATCCTTATTTTAACACACAGAGGTTCCAAGTATGTTTCTCTGTCTTCTCAAATATGTAGGATCCTTTAAATTATGGCAACATTTTAACTTAAAACTGTGTGACTAAAACAAACAGAAGAAAAGGACTGTCAAGGAAACTGTTAAAACGGAACAAAGAGCTGTGTGTTGGTGGTGCACACTTTAAATCCCAGCAACCAGGAAGCAGATGCAGGTAGATCTCTGAGTTCAAGGCCAGGGAAACCCTGTCTTAGAAAAAAACAAAACAGAGCAAACTTTAAAACAACCTAATACCCTTAAACAGAATGAACTGCACTCTCAAACAAGAACCAGGTTCTACCTAAAAGGCCTGAAACATGCCTATCTCAGTAACTACACAAGAGAAAACATAGGGGAATCACAATCCAGTCAGTTCTACAACAGCAGTGATACTTGGCTCGGAAGCAGTCATTCTTGCTCGGAAGATACACTCAGCAGTCTCGATAAAAGTGTTACTGTTACACAACAAACAATAAATGATCCTGGAGTACCTTAAAACAAAACAAAACAAAACAAAACACTAAACAAAGCCCAACAGTGGTGGTGGACGCCTTTAATCCCAGCACTTGGGAGGTGGAGGCAGGAGGATCTCTGTGAGTTCGAGGCCAGCCTGGTCTACAAGAGCTAGCTTCAGGACAGCTAGCACTGTTACACAGAGAAACCATATCTCAAAAAGCCAAAAAGTAAAACACTAAATTATAACCAAGGTAACCATCAATTATAAAAGACAAAACATTTTAAAGAAATCAGATTACAAAAGATTGTTATCTATGTACCTATATGCACTGAACATTGTACAGTTTATTGTCATTTGGAGATACTGTTGTTCAGGCTGGCCTCAAACTGTTCATATGTAGAAGATCAGGCTAGACTTGTTGAACTTCTGATCCTCCTGACTCCATACCCTAAGAGTGCTAGTACTAAAGGTGTGGGCCAGTGTAAACTGTATTATTAAATGGTAGAAGTCCCATCACAGGGGTGAAGGGGAAATGTTTGAAAAAGCAAGATCTTCCATCTTTCATAGCAGGGTAATATTTACAATTAAAAATAAGTAAAAGGGCCGGGCGGTGGTGGTGCATGCCTTTGATCCCAGCACTCGGAAGGCAGGTGGATCTCTGTGAGTTAGAGACCAGCCTGGTCTACAAGAGCTAGTTCAAGGACAGACTCCAAAGCCACAGAGAAACCCTGTCTCAAAAAACCAAAAAGTAAAAGGGGAGGGGTAAGCAGAAGAGGTAGCACGGTAATACATTTGGAGTTCAGACATACAGGGTTTATGGAACAAAATCTGTATCTAAGCTGTTGCTTACTTCAACTATGACTGAATGAGTTCTCTGTAGGAAACCTACTCAGATAACTGGCTCAAACTCAGCACACAGCGTACATTTTGACACACAGTAAGTGCTCAAATTAGCCATATTAAGAGCTTGCTAATCGGAAATGTTGAAGTAAATAGCAGAGAAATGAATACAAGATAAAAGGAAAAGCAGGAATGGGAATGAGAGGCAGGCGGCAGGTGGGATGAGACAGGGGTCTAACATTTTCATTATTATCTGGCAGCAGCACTGTCCAATGCAAGTCATTTTGTGATTTTAAATGTCCCTACATTTAAAAAATTAAAAAGAAACAAGAAAAATTAATTTTAATAATGTTTTATTTAATTCTATGTATCCAAAATATTATCATTTAAAACACACTGGTTATAAACAAATTAAGATTTTAACATTCTTTTGCTTTGTAATAAGTACCTGAAATCCAACATGTTTGTACATTTATAGCATTATCTAAATTCAGACAAGCCAACCCTAAGTGGCTGGTGGCTATGATACTGGACAGTGTGCCTAAGACAGTAACTGATTCTGAAAAACAATACTTATCATAAGTGGGTAATACAGCAACAGCCACTATTTACTTACTAATGGAAGAGACTGCTATCTTATACAGTAGTCTAGCCAAAACAAAAAGAATCTCAATGCAATCAGCCTTCATATTCAATTACCAATTTACAGACATACAAAGGAAAAAAATAACTACATTAAATGGCGTGCTAAAGATGCCCACAGTAAAATTTAGGCTATGGGAAACGTAAAAGATGAATAAATGAAAACAGGGAATTTTTTGTTAATAACATGAAGAATCCACGAATATAAAACTAAAAGGGTTTATAGCCAGGCGTTGGTGGCACACGCCTTTAATCCCAGCACTCAGGAGGCAGAGGCAGGCGGATCTCTGTGAGTTTGAGGCCAGCCTGGTCTCCAGAGCAAGTGCCAGGATAGACTCCAAAACTACACAGAGACACCCTGCCTCAAAAAACCAAACAAACAAACAAACAAAAACCTAAAAGGATTTATAAATGAATACATAGAATGTTCTGCAACTTGCAGGGAATTAAAACTTTTAATGTAATATTTGATAATTAGTCTCATTAATTTTTAAGTAAAGTATACAAAAGTATATTAAAACTATCAAAGTCCTGTTACTTTTATAGTGTTTTAAGGTGCCATTACCTCTCAGGAGTACATACTGATGAAATAATATATCTGGAATTTTCTTCAAAACAATAATGCAAAGTAGAGATTGGTATGGAAACTGAAATAAGATGAAATTGGCTACAAATCAGTAATTGCTAAGGCTAGATCATACATGCATGGAGGCTTATTACACTGCTTTGTCTGCTCTCGTAAATTTAAAAATTTCTACAATAAGAGATTGCAAAGAAAACTATGAAGCACAGAGATTATACAAAAAAAAAAGCTTGAAGATAAAAACTATAGCTAATGACTGTGATGAGTAATCACCGAGCATGCAAGCTAAGCTCAGTTTAAACTCCTTAAGACCTAGAGAGAGCTTGTTTTCTTGCTTCTTATCCTTAAACAACCTTAGGAGGTACCACTTGGTACCAAAGTATTGTCTCCTTTCCAGCTCATCTGATCCTCTCCATAAGGAATCAAGACTTTTCTTGCAATTATTCATAAACCACATGAAATCACCTCTTTACAAAGCACAGGGGCTTTTAACATGCAGAAAGAGTCTCAGAAAACCTAAATCAAACTTAACAAAATGAATTCAAGACACTAGGAAATATAGCTGAAGAACTTAAACCTTTTATTCTTCAAATTTTAACTAGGAAGTCAATGCTTAGCAATTTTTTTTCATGACTTATCTTTTAAAAGTGCAAAATTACACATTAATATCCCAATACTCCAAGTTTCATATGTCATTCTTCAAGTCTGAAGAAAATGAGTAATTGAGGAAGTTTCAGAGATACCAGTTTCACAGATGTAGCATCTGTTCTGAAGTCTACACTCATGAAAATGAAGAAGAGCCAGTATCACACTGGCCTGAAACCTGACTAGGTTCTTCACTCAGAATACTTGCAGAACATCTGTCAGTTCTCACTAAAACACAAAATTAGACCGGCATGTGTGTATATAATAAAAATTTTCAGGACAGATTAAAGATTAACATTAAAACTTCACCAAATTTGAACTTCATTGTTTACCAAATTAAACTTTTAAAAATTCTTACTGTGAATTGATTGCAAATTACTTTTTCTTTGAGGTTTCCCAGCATTTCAAAACAGCTAATAAGTCAATCTAACCTTTAAAATGTAAACGCATACTATACATATTGCACTTTTCTAACAGGCTGGGCAAGTATCTTCTGTGATAACACAAAAAGTATTGAATAAAACACATTTTAAAAATCAGTAAGTTCTTGTTTAATCTCCCTCAAATTGTAAATAGCATTCCTAAAATATTCCAATTTTTCCTACGATTTAGTTTCTTAAATAAAGTTTTAAACTTAAACTGGGGAGGGTTGGGGGCTCTTACTGACTTTTTATGTCCTTTTTTTTTCTGGTCCCTCGATGTTCAAAGAGAATTTTAAACAAATGACATTTCATGTTTTCTGCCTTAATTTTTAACAAGCTATAAGAGGTAGGCAGATCTCTGTGAGTTCTAGGCCAGCCTAGTCTACAGAGCGAGTTCCAGGAAAGGCTCCAAAGCTACACAGAGAAACCCTGTCTCGAAAAACAAAACAAAAAGCTATTATTAATTAAAAAAAACCCTTCAATTACTATAATCAAATATTAGTGTGTGTGTATTTGTTTCTGTGTGAGAGAAGTTAACTCTGAAATGTCTGTGTATGTCTAAAATAGGTTCCCCTCAGAGCTTTACTTAATTTTATGATTAAGACTTAATAAATTACACACTAGAATCAAATTAAGTAAGGTAAACTTATTTTGTAAAAATTAAGTCAATTCCCAATATGCTTGACAGAAACAAGCTATTCATTTGCATCTGATTTCCAATGAAGACCTTACTCAAACTGTCCAATGCTTTACTTCCAAGTGGTCCACTACAGGATTCTTCAGGGTGTTTTAAGATTGGCTGTAGCTAGAGTTCTGACTTCCATTTGGACCCTGCTCTCCTTCACTGTTCAAATGGGGAAGAAAGAAATTTTATGCCAATTAAAAGATTCATTTTTAACACCTGATAGTATTACTAGTTTCTGAAGTTAATTATTCTGTGGTACTATTCTACAAAACAAAGACATTTCTGATTATAAGAGACAGGCGTAGAATAATTAAAATCCAGAAAACTACCATTTGGTTTTATGCTTTTATTCTTCTGTAACTTTGGGCCCTCATACACAAAAGCAATCTAGAAGTTAGTGTGCATATACATTCAAAGATTTAAGTTAGCGTTTGGGATTTCACTATTATTACAGGTATCACTCAACATAGAGATCACAAATTCTGGACAAATTTCCTACGAAATTAATCTGACATGTAAAACTCTATTTCTACTCTTTAGGAAAATCCAAACTGTCTTTCAAAAAAAAAAAAAAAAACCAAACCAAAACCAAAACAAACCTGCTGTCCAATGACATAATAAAATCATATGGTAATGATAACAAACCTTTATACATCAAAAAAAATATGGAAATTTCCTAGAAAAATGCTGAATATTAAAATAAAAATAACTAAAGCTGGAAATACCAGTAACTGTGACAATAGGAGATTGCCTTATCTTGTCCATCATCATCTTGCAGCTTCAGGCCCTGCCATTAGTGGAGAATCACTCAGGGAGCTTCTGTAAAAAACGCATCCAAAGGTAGCTGTTTGAATGACTGCCTTAAGCAGCTCCTCTTAACAGTTAAGCATCACTTTCTTCAAGTGTAACATCACTTTCTTCTCAAGTGTAACTGGCAGCATCTATAAATGCATCTCAGTGCTATATAACCTTTGAAGTAACAACTGAACTTACAGCATTTATTTTCCTTCTCACCGTTTTTTCTTCCTTGAATGATCTGACATACAGTGAAGGCAGAGAGCCACTCAATTAATGAACAGATTCATTTAAAACAACAAAAGCTTCTTAGCAGAGGAGGTTCGCTTTTGGCAAAATTATATGTAACTGTGTGCTATGGATCATAGGATCACTCAGAAGCCAAAATTTATTATCTTTAATATATCAGATCATGATAATTTTTGAAAATGGCTACTGAAATATATGAAATAATCATTACTGAAGGAGAGGAATACAGTCAATGGAAAGAATTATATGAGCTTTTTATCACCGAATTTCAAATAAGTTTGCCTAGTTCAGTTTCAATTATGTACAGAATGTGGCTATATGTTGAGGGATACCTGTAATAGATCTCCATTGCAATAGGAAAACTTACTAGACAGAAGATTTATCTTAAAACTGAGACATATCTCAATTTATCGAGACAGAAATTACATAAACAGAAATTAAGAAAATTTAGTATAAGTTTTTAGAAAAAGATAAAACATGACACAATCTAAGAAAAATACAATTTGAGAACACTATACAATGAAATCAAATCAGTAATTAAGTCTACAATGTACCTGTTTGGAGGTGGTTTTGGCTTCGGCATCTTACTAAGAATAGTTGCCATCTCTTTTCTCTCATCAAAATTCTTCCACTGCTCATATAGTTTTAAAATAACCCTGATTATTTCCAAAATCTAGAAGAAAATATTTGAAAGTCTTTCAGTAGCAAAACTAGCAATGTATTACCATTTAAAGAACACACATCATGCAGAGCCTGGTGGCACATGCCTTAATCCCAGCACTTGGGAGAGAGAGGCAGGTGGATTTTGATGCATTGGGGCCAGCCTGATCTACATATCAAGTTCCAAGCAAGGCAGGGCTGTATAGTAAGAGTATGTCTTCAAAAAAGAGGAGTACCTTCTCCATATCCACAGAAAGTTCTGCAAACCATTGCCTAGCATCTTTCTGTTGTACAACACAGGCTACATGTAGACAAGCTAAAAAGAAAATTAGAAACAATTGTTCAAATTTAACAGCAAACAGTCTTAGAACTAAAGATTTTCATAAAGATTTTATCTTATTTTCCAGTACTATTTTTTTAAAATATAGCTTCATGTTGAGATTACACACATACACATAAACACACACACCATTTTGTGTATCAACATTTAATAGATCGTTTACCAACTTAATGATACAGAAAAAAAAATCTCTAGCTGTAGTGTGGTTCTTCACTGTATACTGGTCACAGTGTGGGTAGCTCAAGGCAGATTTCGGGGGAAATCAGCAATGTTAATCATGCAGGGGTTGTCTCCTCAAAGGAGGAAATAAAATACCTGCTTTCCATCCAGAAAGTAGGGGTGGATATTATTAACAACCTGTTGACCTTTTGCTATCTATAGAGGCAGACCTCACCCAAATAACCCAGGATGTCTATCCCAGACTTTCCCTCCCTAGACCTATATCTTTAGCTCTCAATTAATGGAACCCATCCTTAAGGGATATAACCTAAATTTTAAAAAGCTAAATTTCACTTAAGCATTTTTGACCTTTGCAATACAGTCACGTTTGGTTAGACAAGCTTTTAAGATGGTCTTGTAGGCTGGAGAGGTGGCTCAGAGGTTAAGAGCACTGGCTGCTCTTCCAGGGTCCTGAGTTCAGTTCCCAGCAATGACATGGTGGCTCACAACCATCTATAGTGGGATCTGATGCCCTCTTCTGGCACACAGTAACATGCAGATAAAGCACTCCTATCCATAAAATAAATAAATCTTGCTGGGTGGTAGTTGCAAATGCCTTTAATCCCAGCAGAGGCAGGCGGATCTCTGTGAGTTCAAGGTCAGCCTGGTCTACAAAATGAATTCTGGGCTGGAGAGATGGCTCAGGGGTTAAGAGCACTGACTGTTCTTACCAGAGGTCCTGAGTTTAATTCCCAGCAACCACATGGTGGCTCACAACCATCTGTAATGGGATCTGGTGCCCTCTTCTGGCCTGCACTATATATATGATAAATAAATAAATCTTAAAAAAAAAAAAAAATCGAATTCCAGGACAGCCAGGGCTGTTACACAGAGAAACCCTGTCTCAAAAAATCAAAATAAATAAATAGATAAAATAATTTTTGCTAATTCAAAATACCACCAAGTCCAGTGCTTCACAAGAGTCACCAGTGCTGCAGAAGTATTCAGTTCAGCCCATGTGTGACCTGTACTACTCGTTTTTTGTTTTTTTTTTTTTTAAAGGTTTTATTTATTTAAGAGTATACAACATTCTGCTTCCATGTATATCTGCACATCAGAAGAGGGCACCTTATAAGGGATGGTTGGAAGAGCAGTTGGTGCTCTTAACCTCTGAGCCATCTCTCCAGCCCAGACCTGTACTACTCTTACTACTAAGAAAGGAGCCAGAAAAATCAACAGGAGAAGAAAAAAGGAGCAGGAACTATGAAGTGCCTAGGATGTAACAGACATTTGGTGCTCTATAGGTTGTTTCACTTAACTCTTGAAACAATTCTTTATGAAATTATTATCCATCCCACAACTTTATAAGCTCAGAAAAATTACATAATTGTTTCTACAACTGTACAGAAAGCAATGTCTCAATTTGGTCTGCTTAACTCTAGCCCATCCCTGCGTGCCTTCTCCACCCCATGGGATGCCAGCTAACTTCTAGTGACAGCAGCACAGGTGCTTCTTAAGCTCTTGAGGTTTTACTGGATCCGGAAATGGAAGTCAGAACCAGTTACTTAAGACAACTAATATCAGCAGATTTACACCCAAATTTTCCCCTTTAAGCAAACAAAAATGATGTTTAGGTACTGATTAAAATGTTTTAAATGAATTAAGGGGGGAAAACTATCAAAAAAGGGACTGAGGATTAGCAATGTATAGGGGGAAAATTATCAAAAAAAGGGACTAAGGATCAGCAATGCTAATCTGTTAATAGTACTTATTACTGAAAGCTCACATTCAAGGATTAGTCTACCACTTGATAAAAACATAAATTACAATCAGGCGAAATGTATTTTAGGATGACCTAAATAGGCAAAAACAGTTTAACCAATAAAGGCACTCCAAATTTACATACCTAAAGCTATCATGAAAGGAGGATACAGCAGACAAAGATCCGTCCTGTAGGTATCATTCACTATTCTCCTGTGGAAATGTAAATCTTATCATTACTAACAGCACAACTACTTCATTGACCATGTAACTTCTCCCAGAGAGAGCCAGATTTCCATCTTTGTGCATTTACATCCCTGTTCTACTACCGAGAAGAGTCATAAAGATGAAAACACAGAGGCCAAACAATGGATGCCTGAATGTGACAACAAAGATTCATGTATCAGTGAGCATATTTTTGATGTTGGTACCTCACAACAAATTATATAAAATAAATTTTTCATATTTTTGAAAAATAAAAAATAAAATTAAGAAGCCATTATTTGAAATGGATTTGTATTGAATCCAATCAAAAAGTACTATTTTAAGAATAAATTCTGGGTGGTGGTGGTGCACGCCTTTAATCCCAGCACTCGGGAGGCAGAGGCTGGTGGATCTCTGGGAGTTCGAGGCCAGTCTGGTCTCCACAGTGAGTTCCAGGCCAGCCTCCAAAGCTACAGAGAAACTCTGTCTTTGTAAGAATAAATTCATTGTTAATTTTCATGTGAGGTCTTATTTTTCATATGAAACATTAACAGATATACTTATCAAACAGGTAATTCAAGATATATATGACTTTATAACCTTATACCACTATAGTTATTAAAATTTTTTTGTTTTTTACTTTTTGTTTTTTCGAGACAGGGTTTCTTGGTGGCTTTGGAGGCTGTCCTGGAACTAGCTCTTGTAGACCAGGTTGGTCTCTAACTCATAGAGATCTTCCTGCCTCTGCCTCCCGAGTGCTGGGATTAAAGGTGTGCGCCACCACCACACAGCCTAGTAATTAAAATTTAACAAGCAAATATTTGCTGAATATAAAATATCTTGGGGCACTTTAAAATACTAAACCACATATTTAGTTGTCAACCCTCCTGTCTAGCAACAGGTTTCATATGAGTAACTTCTGTTCTAGTTACCATGCAAGGGGAAGCAACACGTCTTCTTGGCCCATGTCCTGCACATACTGGAGCAAAGGTCTATAAGGATGATACACTATCAAGCAACAATCCTAGAAACAGTTTAAAAACATATATGTATAAGAGCAGATTTATTACAACATAAAACAATACCATTTCCAACTAATTGTATTTAAAATTAATTTCTCTATCTCATACTTGCTTCTTCCTTCTTATTCTTTTGCTCACATATGACCTGAGCTACTGTGATAGTGAAGGAAATGCTCTCTCTGGAATATACCTTGGTAAATCAGTAGGCAGCCAGTCAACATCCACTCTTGCCCTCAGAGACTCAAAGTGTCACACCTGCAACACACTGACACCTCTCACTAGACTATAAAGCCATAGTCCCAACGGAGGAGCAGAATTCTGCCAAAGACATAATCTGTCTTTAGTTCTGTGTGTGTGCACGCACACACAAATTGCACACAGTTTTCAGTGGTTTAACTTCCTGGCTTATTTGCTTGTAATCCTGAGAATGGCTTTAATAAAATTTTAAAAAATTTCCAGAGGCCAAGTAAGATATACAAATTATTTTACAGGCATCAGAAGGAAAAATAGGTGATAATGCTACTATAGTTCTATGATTTTGCCATCACATATCATTTAGATAAATTTAAAATTTATCTCCCTTCAGAACAATTCATTAAGTTTTACTGTATTATGGAAAAATATACATACCATTAATTCTAAAAGGTAAAATTCATATTATAGTATCTGTTAAAAGAAATTATCCAGTGAAAATAACCATAATTACATAAATACTCTTTTTTTAAAAGTAACAATTTACAGACACAGATAAATTAAAGAATTTACCAGTCTTATATAAAGTTTCTAAATCATGAAAATAAACACAGTAACTTACATTAGCATTAACATTCACAATTATTATTATTATTATTATTATTATTATTATTATTATTATTATT